AATGTTGGAAGAGAACCTTTAACCAAAACAATTCTTCATAGAATATTGCTCTAAACTTGTTTGAAAGTTCACAAACAACAAAAAGTAAAGAGCACGGCTCAGTAAAGTCTGAACGTGTGACCCACGCAGTCAAAAGAAGGAAACAGAAGCCAGCCGTGGACAGACTGCACATTTTATTCAGTGTGACAGGTAGCTGCCCGTTCAACCTTTGCAGAATGCAAAGAAGAGAGCAAGGCAATGACAGAAGGGGTGGTCATAGCTTTTTAGGAGTGAGAGCATGGCTAGCAGTTTGTGGCAACATTCTTCTGCTCCATACTGTGCGTACATCAAAAAACAAAAGCCTCTAGGTATGATGGGAACAGGCTTCATCCACACATTTGCAAGCTGCCAAACACACAACAAAAAGCCCAATCTCCGTCTGACAATGTGCAAACACACCGACACAATATAAAACAAGGCTTCCGTAGGAGTCTTACACCATATTGCTTTTAGTGTTTAACTGTACATAGAAAAAGAGTCAAAAGAGTCCAGTCCGGTGACTGGTTTGTAAAGAGTGTGGGGGATATTCACAGAAGCGTTACAAAATACTTTGTAAGAATATTAACAGGTTACTGGAAAAGCATCGGAGCAGCACTCTGGTTGGAAAAGAGGAAAACGACGAGCACAAGAGAATATTTGTGTGTTTTTGTCTCTCTTTGGGTTTTCTGAAAACAGTCACCTGATTGATTTTTAGTTTTGGCAAAAAGAAACGATCAGTTCTAGATAAATCACAAGTGTCAAAACTCTTAGTAGTAAAAATTATAATGAAGAATCGCTTCTTTAAGTGATAGTTCAGAACTTTATAGAGTGGTTATGTAAGAACGTTGTGAACAATAATCATCTGACCTGTTGTAGATGGCTCTTTGAACATCCTCAGTTTAGAGAAACTATTTAGTTCTTGACCAGACAGACAAGCTAACGGCTAATATGAGCGGGGTCAAAAGCAAAGTGGACTGTTGTCAACTAGAAGCAACTCCAATCTGAAAAAAATAATAGATTCACGGGAACACAGTTTTAATCATTTAAATCACTGTAAATTCTAATGAGTTATTCACATAGAAGTCTGTGGTTATTTACAAGCACAAACAGGTGCAGGCACAGCTAGTTTGAGCAGTGCAGCCTGGGGAGACTGCCAGCAGGAATATCATCAGATTTTCTACAGAATAACTCAAATGTTAAACTAACTCTGGAGTAAAAGGCAGAGTTCAGATTAAACTAGACAAATTGCATTTCCTGTGAAAATGCAGTGGGAATGCAACTTGCTGACAAACAGCTGAAATTAGCTAAAGACGCTGAAATGTAGCTGAAATAAAAGAACAAGTCTAAATTAGCAGAAGAAAGCAGAAAGAACAAATATTTGCTAAATTTAGTATAAATGAGGAGAAATTATCACAGAAATTAGGAAATTAGTATAAAAAAAAAAATCTGAAATTAGCAACAAAAAAAAAGTGGCTAAAAAGGCAGAAAGAAGCTTAAACTAGCATAAGGAAGAGGAAAGAGCTGAACTGAAATAAAAAATGTGGAATTAGCTGAAAAGGCAAAAATTAGCATAAAACAGCTAAATAGTAGCTGAAATAGCAGAAAAAGCTGAAAGGAGCATTAACAGGATGAAATTAGCATGAAGAAGTTAATTAGGCTGAAAGTAACAAAAAAAAAATACCATGAAAAACTTGAATTTATCTGAAAACAGATGAAATTAGCAAAAAATAATAAAATAAAAAGCTAAAACGGTAGCTGGAAAGGTCAGACTAAATTAGCGGAAAAAATCAGAAAGAACACAGCTGCCCAATGAGGTTGAAAGAAGCATAAATGAGCACAAAAAAGTTTAAATTATCCGAAAAAAAGCTGAAACTAGCAACAACAAAAACAGCTGAAAAGCAGAAAACAAGCTTAAATTACCAGAAGGAAGTGAAGAGAGCACATTTAGCTTAATTAGGCTGAAAAAAGTTGAAAGTTGTGCAAAATGTGGAATTATCTGAAAAGTATAAAAGTTAAATAGTAGCTGAAATAGCAGAAAAGCTGAAACTTGCATAAATAAGCTGAAAGGAGCATAACAAGCTGAAATTAGCAGAAAAAAGTTAGAAGAAGTACAAACATGTTGTAGTTAGCAAAAATAATCTAAAAGCAGCACAAAACAGCTGAAAATTACTTTAAATTTGCAGAAGGAAGCTGAAAGAACAAATATTTGCTAAATTTGGTATAAATGAGGATAAATTATCACAGAAATTAGGAAATTAGTAAAAAAGCTAAAAAGGCAGAAAGAAGCTTAAACTAGCAGAAGGAAGAGGAAAGAGCTGAACTGAAATAAAAAATGTGGAATTAGCTGAAAAGGCTAAAATTAGCATAAAACAGCTAAATAGTAGCTGAAATAGCAGAAAAAGCTGAAAGGAGCATAACAGGATGAAATTAGCATAAAGAAGTTAATTAGGCTGAAAGTAACAAAAAAAAAAAATACCATGAAAAACTTGAATTTATCTGAAAACAGATGAAATTAGCAAAAAAAAAAAAAAAAAAAAGCTAAAACGGTAGCTGGAAAGGTCAGACTAAATTAGCGGAAAAAATCAGAAAGAACACAGCTGCCCAATGAGGTTGAAAGAAGCATAAATGAGCACAAAAAAGTTTAAATTATCCGAAAAAAAGCTGAAACTAGCAACAACAAAAACAGCTGAAAAGCAGAAAAAAAGCTTAAATTACCAGAAGGAAATGAAGAGAGCATCCATCCATCCATTATCTTTACCCGCTTATTCCATTTTGGGTCATGGGGGTCGCCGGTGCCCATGTCCATCAATCACTGTGCGAGGGGCGGGGTACACCCTGGACGGGTCTCCAGTCCATCACAGGGACACATAGAGACAAATGAGACAAACAACCATTCACTCTCTCACTCACACCTAGGGACAATTTAGAGTTACCAATCAGCCTAACATACATGTTTTTGGTCTGTGGGAGGAAACTGGAGTACCTGGAGAAAACCCACGCATGCACGGAGAGAACATGCAAACTCCACCCAGAAGGCCCCTGGACCGGGGTTTGAACCAGGGACCTGCTCCCTGAGAGGCAGCAGCTCTACCAGTTGCGCCACCGTGCTGCCCGTGAAGAGAGCACATTTAGCTTAATTAGGCTGAAAAAAGTTGAAATTTGTGCAAAACGTGGAATTATCTGAAAAGCTAAAATTAGTATAAAAACTAAATAGTAGCTGAAATAGCAGAAAAGCTGAAACTTGCATAAATAAGCTGAAAGGAGCATAACACGTTGAAATTAGCAGAAAAAAGTTAGAAGTACAAACATGTTGTAGTTAGCAAAAATAATCTAAAAGCAGCACAAAACAGCTGAAAAATACTTTAAATTTGCAGAAAGAAGCTGGAAGAAGCTGAAGCAGAACAAAATGTGAAAGGAGCAGTAAAAGGTTGTAAACACATCTAAAGATTTGAAGGATGGAAAATGAGCTCAATTCATTTTCTATGAAAAAAAATGGCAGAAAATGCTAAACATTTCAAAAAGCTAAAGTTGCACCAAAAGTCATAGCAGGATCGTCCTGAAAGAGCTGAATGTTTTGATTCATGATTTGTTGAAATAGCACAAAAATTGTGGAACGAGAAAGATGCTGAAAAACGTACGGAAGAAAGATGGATCACCATAGAGTGAATGCTTCACAAACATTCACACAATAAATATAACATACTTCAGCTTCGAGTTGTTTTAAGACATCAGAGATCTCATCTTGTCACGGCCTAGCTTGAACTAGCTGTTAGCTTGTCCATACAGTCAAACTTAAAGTGCTTCTGCAGATTTAGGTTGTTCAAGAGCTAAGACTTTATTGTTCACAACTGTTCCCACTTTAAAGATTCAAACTATCCCTTTAAAATAACGTATCAAATAAATAACTTTGATTAGGAAAGCAGTGCAACATAGAGCCAGTATTCTTGATTATTAGCAGCACAGCAATAAAAAAATAAGCTGGTTAGAAAAGCTGCTTCAGTTTCTATCGTGCTGAATGTGGTGTTTCAACAAGAGCCGCAGGGTTAAAAATTATTCTCAGACAATAACAATAAACTTCATATTCCTAAAACAACAACTCTTTGCAAAAACAACATAAAATATATCAAACGAGAAATACTTTAAGTCTTAATCAAACCAATCTTATAATCCATGTTTGGACATTACTTTCTAAAGTCAGAACATTTATCACATACAATCAACTTGATAAGACATCGCTGCTTCATTTCGCTGCACGTCTTCAATCACAGAAGATATCTATATGGCAGGGCTCCTAAATATTACTGGGAATATTAAAAAAAGGTCTAGAGGGTTTTGAATGGGGCAATATGACTGATCAGGGTGCATTAGTTTAGTTTTCGACACTCACGCAGAAGCAGTTTTCTACGTCTCTAGCACATCTAAAGGCAGCAGCGGGGCTTTCACTGATATAGAAAAGAGGTCAAAGCAGGTTCTAAGCGGCGTCAGAGCAACATTATGCATATGAGTGAAGGTTCAGTGTATACTTCTTCTTGGTACAATTGTGGTAAAGTTACAAATTACTGATTACACCTGAAATCACCGATGGAACCGGTCCCGGGCTCAGGTCACATTTACAGTGTTTGCACTTCCAGTGTTCTCCGAAAGGTTTCTTCAAATACAACATGGTTCCCAGTTCAGTCCATCTTTAGTTTCAGTGCCTCTTGTGTGGTGACAGGAAGCAGCGTGGGGACACCTGGTGGTGGGAGATGAGCACTGCTTTATAAAATCCACCACACAGACCTGGACCTGTGTCATTAAACACAATAAATTCAGCTTGTTGAAATACATCAGCAGGATTTACACACGTCTCTTAAAATGGCACATTGTTAAACGTTTCTGAATCCGATGAAGATAGTTTCGTCCACAGGTGATGTGCCGAGTAAAAGAAATATATTTAAGGATGATACCGGAGGGCGAGATGAACTCTTCATAGACTTAATCTGGATGTGAATAAATAAACAAACCTGATTTACAGCTATAAACAGAAAAAAATAAATAGTAAATTCTTTAAGGGGAAAATTACAGGATGGGGATAAATCAGGAAAACGAAGGGCAGCATTTTATCGTCCAACCACTTGTTTTGGTTTCGATTTGCGAGGTTGGAGACCTCGGACAGTTAGAAGTGGAGCTCCACCACTGAGAGCTGCAGAGTAGGCGTCCCTCATGGTTTTTATCCGGGACCTCCTTGCTTTCTGTTCCTCAAGATGCCACGTAGCGAGGTGCTGCAGGGAAACAGGAGGTAATCTGACGGCTCCTTTCACACCGTTGTGTGTTCGTTCTGCTCCAGCTCTGTCTTCCGTAGCTTGTCACGCTGCCGCTCCACTTTCTGCTGGTTCCGCTTGGCCTTCTCCATCAGAAACTTAAGGTCTTTGATCTTTTTCTTCATCACCGCTCGGTCCTGGGACGAAGTGACTCCAAGAGCCTGAAACACATTAATATTCAATCATTTATCCTGATGCACGCTCCATAATCCAGGCAGCTCAATCTAACAGAGGACCTGATCAACCTTGTACATTCACTCAAATATTTCCTGAAGTTTTACATAATTTTATTTTCTCATGCTTAAGTATGCCGCAGATCATTAAAATTATAAAGTGTTTAAAAATGCTTTAAAAGTTAGTGACACATTTCAATAAATTGCCTATAACTTAAACATTTCAAATGTGCATTAATATTCTACTGATGGATTATTGAAAACACATTTTCAAGCCATTTAAATACATTTGTGTGAATTAGGTAAAGTTACCTTTAGCTCAGAGCTATCCAGCAGGAGCAGCTGCTCTCCATCAATGTTTTTGGCAGTGAATTCTGGGATATGGTGTTCTAAATTAAGGCCAGTGAGCCAGAGCGCCACCTGCTGTGAAGTCCACTCGGTAACGCTGCGGTTCTGCCAATGATGCTGCTTTCCAGGGGGCGCCTCGTCTAAGACCTGAACATTTGTGAGAGAGCACAGAGACGTGAATAAGATGCTGAAAATGTCTTGAGCCCGGACCAACGCTGGACGAGTCATGAGTGTGACGAACAATTTGACTGATCAATGCTCAAACTACTCCATAAACAACATAAACAAGTAATATGTTGTGAACTGTTTGGGTGCGTTTGTTCTTTTATAAATGTAGTTTGTGTGGTTTTTAAAACTTTACATTTTCTGTTTTGTCATCTTGTTTTAGACACTTCAGTTTATAAAAAGGTGCGTTTGGTTTTGTTGTGATCTGTGAACATCTGCTCCGTGTTCGTCTGAAAAGTTGCAGAATCTTATGAGCACAAATTCCACCTTTACATATTTCATATGAACTGTGTAGCTGCGAATTAAGTTTTGTAAACTTGTAAAATAAAATAGTTGAGAATTTCTGCTTTGAGCATGTGCAGGTAAGAATGTGCGTGAAAAAGATTTATATTTGTGAAAAATAATTAGATAAGTTACAATTTTAGTTTTTTTAAGGTCTGTTTACAGATACAAATCAAAAAACTACTGGATGTGACTCAATAACTTGTGAGTTTCAACTTGCAAGTATGAATTATGACATTTCTTCCTCTCAGCTGATTGGTTGATGTCAGTGAGTGGGATTTGTGCCCATAGAATCTTTAAGGTTTCAGAGAAGCTGCACACCTAAATTCTGTCAGACATTTGTATATAAAAAATATATATTTATATATATCTTCCCAATCATGGTGATAAGAATGCATGACAATGAGGCACAAATATCTGCACAACACAGATATAAAACACGTGCAGAGCGACACGTGTCCTCTGAAGGCCGGCAGCCTTGGTCTCACCTCGTCGTCGATCATATCCAGGCTCTGGACGCAGCGCAGAAAACAACCGAGAGGGACAGGGTCATTAACAAAGCAGAAATAAAACGCTTCCTCTGCAGAAACCAGTCTATCCCAGTGGTTCCCAACCCATGTCCCTGAGGAACACCATCCTGAATGTTTCAGTTGTTTCTCTGCTCCAACACGCCTGATTCAGTGATTTAGTTACTTCAAGTTCTGCAGAAGCCTGTTAACAACCCATTCATTCAAATCAGGTGCGTCAAAGCAGGGAAACAAGTGAAACGTGCAGAACGGCGTTCCTCAAGGAACACGGTTGGAAACCACTGGTCTATCCATCTGAACCCCATCACTGACTCTGAGCAAGAACACTACGAGATGCCCTGCACAGGTTTTGTTTGTTAGAGAAATCCAGAAATGAAAAGTAGACAATTGATATGTCAGAGTTTGTGACTAACAATGATAAATCCAATATTTTCATGCGCTTCAACCAGATGTTCGGTTTTAAATCTCTGAACTACAACTAAGCCGTGAGCTCTCACTGAGCTAAAGAAATGTTCACACCTCATTGGAGGACAGCACCGGGGTGTGTGAGCGTCCCGACATCTTTGCGACGCTGACCAGACCGCTGATCTCCACCGAGCTGCTGCTGCTGCTGCTGGCGCTCAGATCGGCGCTCGGAGTCGGCGGCTGACAAATGAAAATCACACTTTTGTAAGACTTATGGTGGGCCGACTCTGAGACAGAACGCTGCTGATAAGACGGCGCTAAGAGAAACACGTGAGTAATGGACAAATAAAAAAACTACAGTGGATTCATCTGATCAGGCTGTTCGATCAGGCGTGCACAGCCCTCATTTTTAAGATGCTCCATTACGGCACTAAGTGTGAATAATGATTAGACGAAACTGAGGTGGAACACGTCCAACTCCAGAAATCTTTGGCTGTGTCCTCATGAATGTAAGACAGTGTGGACATCATTTATGTCTTTAAAATCCAATGTCTGTCCTGCAGCCTTCAGAGGCAACAGCTGCCGAGTGCTATAATCATGAGAAATGTGCACGCCGTTCTGTGTCACCGTCAGATGAAGGGTTGTTTTCAGCGAAGCAGCCAAGCAGCTTTTCACCAAAGGTTTGTGCCTTTTCTCTCCTGAACTTCATTGCTCCTGAATGGAAGCCAGACTTCAGGATGTAATAAAAGATTTTGTCTACAGCAGCTTAGAGGAGTTTGATTTTTGGAGTCAGACTAATCTCACAGGCTCAGACTCTGCTCCATGTGTTGAATCTTCACCTGAAAGCTTAACATCACTGATGCACGTACAATCTGCCATGAATTATCCTCTGATGTGCACTAAGGTTTGTCCTCCGAGAGAGAGAGTAAAAGACAGGGCATTTCTCAGGACTAAAGAAATAATCTCATTTTTAATCCTATGTTAACCACAGCTGATTATAGTAGATTAAAAACAGTTTGACTGCAAATACCTGCACTGCAAGAAATACCGTCTCTAATTTTTCTGTGAACACATGGAATGCTTCCAAACAAATGTGTTCATCAAATGCAGATTTAATGCTTGAAAACTAATAGAAAAGTGGCTAAAATGGACATTTTATGCAGAGTTGATCTAAATACAACAGCTTTTAAAATAAATATTGGTGTAATAAACACGTTTTTTTAGGTGACGCGATAGTTTAGGTCGTTTAAAGGCGAGTTCTACAGGTTATAAAAATTCAATATCGTACCTGTTGTGGAAAGCTCTTCGAATGAGCTCGGTTTACTGAAATGAGGTTTAATTCTAACCAAAGATCTGAACTACTGCTTTAATTACTCAGTTATAATAAAATGCAGATACAATGGCTCCCAAATGACCTCCCAGAGAACTAAGTGATTTTTGTAATTTGAGATTGATTCTAGAATAAAATGCCACATAATGTGAATAGAAGAGCAGAGGCCATGTTAGTGAGGTCTGTCAAACAGAAATAACACATGCATCAAAACATAAAGAAACAGATGATACGATGGTGATGAAGCAAGTACAGAAGCATCTTTTCACCAGATTTATAAGACAAATGCAAACTGACTTTTAACGCTGTCATTTGAGTGGTTTCTGTAAAATATTAGAATTTCCCTAATGGAACTGGGGGCAAAACTTGTGTACCTTGACTTTGAGTTTCTCTGGACTGTCATCAGCTGACAGCTCCGTGGAACTGGGAGGGAAAGAAAGAAACGTTGGGCAGGAGAAATTAAATACAAGCCAACAAATATTTCAATTCAATTCAGTTTATTTCTATAGCGCCGAGTCACAACAGAAGTCATCTCAGGACACTGAACAGAAACATTCACATACAAAAAAATGTGAATAGTAACATTATTTAAAGGAAGGAAGCCAGCAGATTGTGATGATGATCACTGTACAACAGCTTAAAGCTTTCAAAGGAAGATCATGTAATAATAAATGTGATTAAAAAAAGACATTTGATTTGAAACACAACATGTAGCTCTTTACTATATGGACATGGACAAGAAAAATAGTTTTCTAATCTTGGTTTATGTTAGGGATGTTTTGGTCAAAGTTTATAGATGTTTTTAACTACTATGGCTGAGAAGGTTAACTCTGCCCATGAACCATATGTTTGGGTTAGTAGAGAGCTGGATGAGGAGCTGGATAAGGCAGCTGAGTGCAGCTGTTGCTTCAAGGTCGCCTCAGCGTCTGTGAGCACGGCTGAACTGATAAGAGTATAAACACCAGCCTCACACACTGCTCATGGCAGATTCTCCTGGCTGGGTGTACTGATGCGTGTACTGCATTTGCCACCGTATAAGTCGCACCTTAGTACATACATATGCAAGTCCTGTGATTTATACACTGATGTGACTAATATACCCCCCCCCCCCCCCATATTTATAATCCAATTTTGGCTGAGATCTGACAATTTCATTCATTTTGACATGAAAACTATTAAACATTACCATTTGAAGCCTGCACATGGAAGCTGTCTGAAGTTGTCCACCTTGATTTCTTTAAGGGGTTTCAAACATTTGATAATGTCAACAGAAAAATCAAAGCAAATATGTTCTTGTTTTTAGTATTGCACCCTGTTTTACGGCACTCTGATTTGGTGTTTTATACACTACTCTTATTTTAACTGTATTTTTACTGTTGTTTATTGTTGTCTGTACTTTATATGTTCTGTCTGGAACATGTAACATGTAACAACTCTTGTAAATGAGTCTCCGTGACTCAAGGAGGCTAGCCTGTAGAAATAAAAGTTGAATGAAAAAAAAAATGCAGCCGCTAGAGGGCCTTCGAGTATTATGGCAAGCCAAGTGGCTATTAATGAGACACTTGGCTTGCCATACAAAGCCACCTTCATCTCGCTCTGGAACTCCTGGAGCAAACGTCAAATCAACTTCATTTTGCCGCACCGCCCAGGTGAACTGCAGATGATTTGACCATTAAAGTGCATTTATTAAGGAAAAGTTCAACTGAGACACACCTTTACTATAATTTAGAGCAAACAAATAATGTTTTTAGGTGGTTATCTCGGTAAATTTTGAAGAAATGAACAGCAAGTCGTCCCTCTGCGCGCTCCCGCAGCCGTGAATCGGCTTTTGAAAATGCAGCCGATTTGACCATTAAAGTGCATTTATTAAGGAAAAGTTACACCGAGACACGCCTTTACTATAATTTAGAGCAAACAAATAATTGTTTTTAAGTGATAATCTTGTTAAATTATTGTTACAATCCTACTGTGCACGCTCCCGCGGCCCCCATTTGGCAGCCAATCAATTTTTGGCAAAACACCGACCCACGTTTCCAGGTTCGGCCCACATTTCTGGGTGGTGACTCATAATAGATGCGACTTATACGGCAAAGTTACTTATTTATGATTTTTTTCCCACTTTATTAGACATTTTTGGACTGATGCGACTTATACGGTGGTGTGGCGTGTACGTCGGCAAGTACAGTTCTTCCTGTACATCTGTGTGATCTGTCCTGAAAATCTGTCCTTGCAAGTAAAATACTGGTTAAAAATCTTCTGTTGTCGAGTGTGGCTCCTTCTGAGTAAGTGAAATAAAGTGAGAGTATTTTTCCCCATCAGCTTACCTGTTTCCAGGTGACACTCTGGGATCTTTGTCATTCACTTTAGTTTTCCTGAGTGACGAGCTGAACAAAAATATAAATAGGAAAAAACACAAAAAGAAAATTAGCATATGTCTCATTTCTACTCACTTTTTGAAGTTGTTAAATTAACTTCAGGTAGCTCCAGTCTGCACAAAGCTGCATTAAACTGAAATCCAAACGTAAATAAAATATGATGCTTTAACCACATATGAACAAAAATTGAAGAAAGACTTTTATAAAAAGTTTTTAATTAAGTGCACTGTAATCATTTGTTGATGAGGTGATTAGTTGAAAAATGACTGTTCAGGTCTTTTGAAACAGGGTTCGTTATTTTTTTTAACAATTACTATCTTACCTGCTGTAGATAGCTTTTTAAACAGCCACAGTTTGTAGGAATATAGTTTAACTGAACTATAACAAGCAGACAGCCAAAATCAAACATTACAACTCAAATGTATGACATTTTAAAGCAGCTCCTGCAAACAATGTTTTGTAAATGTTTTTATTTTGTTTTTGTAAATGCAAAAATCAGCAGCTAACTGTAGGTTTTACTACTGCAGCCCCGAGGCACTTCCAGCAAGAATAAGGAAAAAGAAAATCTGCGATCAGAGACGAGATGGAGTTTAATCTGATAAAAACTAAACTCCAACTTTTCATACAGAAGTCGTCCAAAGAGCCATCTAGAAAAAGTAAGATATTTATTGTTCAAAACATCTCAACAGAACCCCATTTAAAAAATCTGGACTGCTGCTTTTAGCGTAAAACATCTGCAAAGTCCACATTCAAATATACCAATAAGATGTTTTCAAAGAGTAGCTCCAAAACATTTTTGTGAGATGTAATTTTCTCCTGTTCTGTGTTTGTTTGTTCCCTTCCTTCACCGTTTTTAAAATATATAAAAAAAAAAAAATAAAATAAAATAAATAAATAAATAATAATAATAATTATGAACAAAAGGATTTAGGTTTATGAAGTTTCTTCCGATTCTTTGTTATATATCCCCTTCCTTGCCCTCAGCTCGTTTTATTGTTTAACATTTCATCAACTGTGCTCCTCATCAGTACAATTGTGGTTCCTGTTGTCTAGATGTGTGTGCGTGCATGCGTGTGTGTGGTCATTGTGTCTCCACTGCTTCGTCAGTCCTTACTGATTTATGGTGTGCTTCAGGTAGTGCTTATGATATAATTTGATATTGGGTGGTCCACCTGAGCCCAGCGTGTTTCATGCTCTGATTTCATACCCACGTTTTCTGTCAACCTTCATGAACAAAATACTTTAATTGTGTTTTGATAAAGTTATTCATGCAGCGACACGACCTTACCCAGTGCCCAGTGCTTGTCTGTTTGTCTCTAAACCTCGAGAGGGGCTTGACTTTGCAGGAGAGCCTATGATCAGAAACATCACACAAGAAAATTAATCCTGTTTTTTTAATTTTTTGGACAAACTTGTAGTAAATGGCAAAAAAACCCAACTATTAAAACATGAAAACTTGGGATCAGTCTTTAAAGTGCAGTTAAAGCTGTGTGTCTAAACTAATTCTTGAGTTTGCAGGTGAACCCACCAAGCAGAGCTTTTCTGGGGGAGCCGTCTGCACTGCCAGGAGCTTTAAGGCAGCTCGCTCCTGGATCAAGACATATGGAGACCTAAAGATGGACAAAGATGAAGAAGATCGATAAAAATGAATAAAACAATCAGAAGGGAAATAACACATTATCACAAAGAGAGGAAAGTTTGGGGAAAAATGCTGACCGAACAAGGGTGTGAGAGAATAAATAAAGAGTGACGTGAACAACCCGAGCCGCAGACTAATCTGACAGAAGTCTCTTGACTTGAACAGATTCTAATTCCTCGGCATCTTCTCCTTCATCAAAGCTGCTGCAGCTGTTTCTTTTTCTGTGTTCCTGCCAGTTCTGACCTCGACTTATTCATCTAATCTGAACTTTTTCCAGCTTTCGTTGAGCTAAGTGTTGGCGTTAGAGCCTGTCACCAAGAAAAAAACCAAGGCTGGCTGTTACTCCACTCAGAGACACAAGAAGAGGCACCACAGGCTCAGAGCTCACAATCAATCCATTAATATTAGTGAAATGAAAATGCACTGATTGTACATAACATGAGGTCTTCTAAGAATAAAAACAGCATGTCTGATTAAAAGTCACATCTGGTTTAACTAAGAAAGCACCAATTCAGCAGCTGATTTTCAGCTTGAGCAGAAATTGGCCAGTTATAAACACAAAACTCAGATTTGTTGATTTGGGTCCATGAACGCACCGCAGCCAAGTGATCATTTGCTCCAGCAGAAGCTTGTTTTGTGTGTAGATGTTCTCACCAGGTGAAGATTGTTGATATAGGGCTACTAAAAAAGCTGACTTCTCTACAGAGGTCTGTCTGCAGCTCATATTATTGCTCAGTAAGCCATAGATTTAGATTTCTCCCTTTAAATATGAACACAAATTCACAAAGGAGACACATTAAAGCCCAGCTTACTGTGTGAGACCTGTAAACTGCAAGCAGGTTGACAAAAGTAAAGATATAATAGTTTTACTGATTTGGTTATAAAGCTGTAATTTGCCATGCATATGGTAATATATATGCATATATGATATCATGGAATAAATAAATGATTTAACAATCTAACTCATGAAACAGTAAGTGTTGCTGCTGGTTGTGTCAGAGACGGCAACAAATTGTTTTAAGACAAAATGTCTTTTTTAAAAGAACGATTGTCCCGTGATATGATGCAGTTGTATGTATGTAGTGGTTTAAATAAGGAGCCATTACGTTATTTATTTTTTATATTAACACATATTTCCTAAACCAGGCATTTAAGTATTTTTATTGCTGTTTCTTACTTTTTACTGTTTCTTCTAGGAATAAAAACAAACAATAATCCCATGTTAGATCCTGCAGACCAGAGATTTATAAAAATTGGCAATCTGAACCAATTTGGGAAACTGTGCTTTTGTTTTTAATAAAAGCTGACAGATAATATGTCTGCCTGCTAATAATGATATGATATGATCATATGATCTATGATAAATACCAGTGGTTCTAAATAAATTCCTTTGTGAGCATAATTTACAAACCTCTCCCTCTGCAGAACTGGTGGCGTCTCGAGGTACTTCTGAGTAGTTTTTCTTTTTGCTGGATGAGTGAGGAGATCCTCTTCCAGCATCTGCAGCCACGAAGAAACAAAAAGAGAAACCTGAGCAAGGCACAGGGGGAAATGTGAACCTCAGGACTCCCTCATCAAAATCAGTTATGAGCACATTTTTTGATCACATATGTATAATTACGTAGAACTTGACTTGACCTGCATCATGTGTAAAAAACAAAAAATTCATCTGCTCAGTTAAAGTCTAAAATCTCTTCCAAAACATACTTGCACTATAATTAATAACACATCTAATTATCCCTTGTTTCTGCTAATTCTCTGAGTGCCGTAGAAGATGCTGATGATCCAAAAATTTAATCACCTAAACTTAAAAAACAAAAAGAAATTATCAGCAGATTCCTTCCTCCTCTCCCACAGGCATTTGTTTCTCTTTATTTTATTCCAGCTGTATCACTCAAATACTCCACCCCTCTTTTGTTTTAATATTGCACAATGGACCACATCATCCATACCGGGGCAGATCCAATCACTCTAAAACTTTCAGACCCGGCGCTCCTTCGGGAGCGCTCTGGTTCGACAGGTATGAGCAGTGAAAGAAAGTCGGCACAGCTCAAACAGGCAAAGCCAGACAGATGTGCCTGAAATGGATTATGTGTTAGCTTCTGGTTGTAGAGGTTCCAGAAGAGATTGAGGTCAGAGGAACATGTGCATGTTGAGGTTAAGGCGGTGGATCGAAGCAGGATTTGTGATGTGCATTTCAACTGGCTCTGTTAGACCGAGTGTCTGCAGAGCTCCAAGTGAGATTATCTGCATGTTTACAGGACAGAACAAAACGGAGTTACTTTTAAACCTGAACCACGAGTCAGGCGCGGTCAACAGACCACAAAGAATGCTTTGAGTCAAGTGGCTCATGAGAGAGCTTTCGAACACACAGACAGGTTTAATGCCAAAATGTCAAAAATTTAAGCAACAATACTGTGTAATAATTTTAGCCTACGTCATATGAAAAACATTGTGTGCAAAAAAATTATACAAAACGAAATTCTGTTGATAAACCATGGATGACGAATGGGTTGAAAAATGCTTGTAAAAAAATAACAATTTGTACTCGCGCTTCTTGAAATTGAAAACAAAAGAAGCAGAAGAAAGGTACAAAAAGTATAAAAATAAACTGGTTTGGATCATAAGAAAACATAAGAAAGAACATTATAGTAATTTATTATACAAAAGTCATGGTAATATGAGAACAACATGGCAAATAATGAATAGCGTTTTAAAAAATCATGAATCCAAATCAAGTTTCCCACAATATTTTGTAAAGGATGGTAATGATATACATGACCACAATGTGATTGTAAATGAGTTTAATAATTATTTTGTAAATGTTGGCCCAAGCCTTGCAAACAAAATACCTAAAGTATATATAAACGTGAATCACAAAATTACAAGTAGTACTAATAGTATTTTTTTGGAAGGAAGTAACAAAGAAGAGGTAATGGATGTTGTAAATAACCTTGCAGATAAAAGATCTAAGGACTGGGTTGACATGGACATGATGTTTGTAAAAAATATAATGAGTTATGTCATCGAACCGTTTATACACATCTGTAACCTGTCATTCAAATCAGGAATATTTCCAAATAATATGAAAACAGCCAAGGTGGTTCCACTTTTTAAAAATGGGGACAAACGTGACTTTAATAATTATAGACCAATATCACTGTTACCGCAATTTTCAAAGATTTTGGAGAAACTATTTGGGATCAGATTGGATCGATTTATTGATAAACAAAACATACTAAGTAATAGTCAGTATGGATTTAGAAAAAAACAATTCAACATCAATGGCACTTGTTGAATTGGTGGATCATATAACAAATACAGTTGATCAGAAGAAGAGTTGTATTAGTATTTATATTGATTTAAGAAAGGCATTTGATACTATAGATCATGGAATTCTTCTTGATAAACTATATAAATATGGTATTAGAGGGACAGCATTAAAGTGGGTAAATAGTTATTTGGAAGATCGAAAACAATTTGTTCAAATACATGACATAAGATCCAGATTTAGTAATATCACATGTGGAGTGCCTCAGGGCTCCGTACTTGGACCCAGGTTATTCAATTTGTATGTAAATGATTTGGTTGATGTGTCAGACCTTTTTAAATGTATTTTATTTGCAGATGACACAACATTTATTTGTAAGGGTGATGATGCAGAACAAATGCTGGAGATAATACGGTCAGAATTTGTGAAAATCCAAAATTGGTTTCTTCTAAATAAGTTATCATTAAATCTGGATAAAACCTATTATATGATACACACTAACAGAAAAACTGATGTTCACGCACAATTTTTGATAGATGGAATTGAAATTTGTAGAGCTAGTGAAGTTAAATTTTTGGGTGTTATTATTGATGAGAACTTAACATGGAAACCTCATATAAACAATTTGAGAACAAAAATATCTAAATCGATAGCAATTCTGTATAAAGTAAGAGAGTTATTCAATGATAATGCAATGTTTATGTTGTATAATGCAATAGTTGTCCCTTATTTGGTTTACTGTATTGAAGTCTGGGGTAAAGCGTGTAAAACTATAACTAATCCTTTGTTCATTTTACAGAAAAGAGCTGTACGAATTATTATGAAAAAAAACTATAGATATCCATCGAATACTTTATTTCATCAACTGAAAATTCTGAAATTTTATGATTTGGTTAATTATAACATTTTGTTGCTTATGTATAAGGCACATATAGGCATTTTGCCCGTTAATATTCAGACGAATTTTGTTAAAAGAGAGAGTGTATATTTTCTTAAAGGAATTGAGATGTTTGTGAAGCCTTATTTTAGTACCAGTTTGAGGGAACGATCCACAATAATTCAGGGGATAGGATTGTGGAATGGTTTGGATGATAACTTTAAAAATGCCAGATCACTGTTTACATTTAAGAGATTGATAAAGACAAGTTTCTTGAAAGAATATGGAAATCATTAATATAAATCTACTTAAGTTGTTGTCTGATTTGATTTAGACGTTTGAGTTTCATATTTTAATTTCACTAAATCGTTATTGTCTTTGTGAATTACATTTAAATTTAATTTTGTAAAAATATCTTGATTTACATTAGAATTAAGTAAAAAAGGGGCAGTTTTCATAAGACTAGTTCTTCTTCTGCCACCTTTCATTTTATTTAAAAAAATTTTTATTTTTATATTGTATGTATATTTATGTGTATGTGTATGTATATATATGTATATATACAGTATGTATATGTATGTGTGTACATATATGTTTATGTATGCTGTATATGTGTTTTTTAAATGAAATGAATAAATTAAAAAAAAAAAAAAAAACGGTTTTGGATTGAGCTAACTGTGTTAGTAAGTTAACTTTGTTTTTCTTTAATTGGTGACGATAGTGTCTTGCATCCGTTCCCAATTTTAGCCAGCCTCATAACCTTTTTGGATAGAGCTAACGGTGTTAGCCTCTCTAAGTTTCTGTTTTGTTAAATTTCTTGTTAATTGGTGACGGCAGCGTTCGCGCTCCTTCTCCCAATTTGGAAGCCTATTTTTTCATACTGTAATCTGGGCATAGCTGACCGCGTCAGCCTCCTGTTCTGCCATTTTGCCTTAATTGGTGACCGTAGCGTCTCGCCCCCTCTCCCAATTTTGGTCAACCTTGGCTCCAACCCGTAGTGGAGGTGGGTAAACCCCTTTGATTTCATCCCGTGGGGCATCGTTGTTGATGGGGGGGGGGGACCTCTGCTGGCTGCATGCAGGCTTCTGGGCGGTCTGTACCGGCGGGCGCAGGTTACTGGCCTGGTGGCCTGGCTGCTCCTGGGTGGGTTTGGGGTGGGTGTGGGTTCAGGGTTCTGGGGGAGTGTCGCTCCCGGGCTGGGGTCCCAGCTTGACCCAGGGGTCTCGGGTCTTGGCGGGTATGTTGTTGGGGTCTTGGGCCGGTGCATGCATCGGTGTCCGGCCCTGGCCTGGGGGCCGTTGGTGCGCTGGTGGGCTTTGGGGCCTCTACCATGGGGGAGGTGATACTGTTGGTGGGGAGGATGGGCCATGGGAGGGGACGGGTGGATTCAGCCTGGGTGTCTTCTTGCCTGGCTGTGGTCGCGGTCTGGTGCTTGGCTGGGGGTCTGGGCTGTGGGGAGCTGTGGGTGGGGGGTGTATTGGAGGCTCTCACTCGGGTGGCTCTGCACTGTTGGCCTGGGGGTGTCTGGACGTGTTAGGCGTGTGCCCTCCCTTGCGTGGGGTACTCTCACTGTGGGTGTTGCTGTGGTGGACTGGTCGGTCCTTTTGTGGGGGGTGGGGGTGCGCTCTCGGTCATCGTGGTGCACTATCTGCGGCTGTTCGGGCGCTCCTGGCTGAAGGTTGCTGCTGGAGTTTGGTGGCTTCTTTGGTCAGGGGGCTGGGTGTTGAGCTG